ATATAGATACATATATATATATATGTATAATCGTAAAAGTCACGTCTTTTACTTTCAATCGTTTTTATTATTCTCTCATTCTCACTCACTCACTCTCTTTCTCTTATTCTCTCATTCTCATCGCGCAACTAATAAAGAAAGACTAAGCTCTTGGGTAAGAATACCGACTCTGAATACTTTCTCGCGAATACTATCTCCTCTCTGCCTTTTACGATCACGTACAAATAAACCGGAGAGATATAGATAAATATATTATATATGCGTATTGTAAACGACGCTTTGAAATCGAGACGCCGTGTCTCTTTTCTTCTCTTTTTTTTTTTACAAATTACCAACCGGTAAGGTCTACTCTACGTACTCGACCGTTCTATATTTTGTATATATATAGAAAGGCCAATTTTTACTTTATCATCCCACGCGAATCGCGCTTGAAACGCAATCGCATTGACGTGGCGTATAATCTAGCAAAATTACCTACTTCTTTTGACTATCTTTGCATACATGTCTACCCTCGGGTGTTTTTAAGAAACCACCCTCGCGCGGACCACCGTTCGAGCGCCGCGCGCTTGAATATTCGCACAGTGCTCGATCGAGTTCCGATTTATCGGTTTCTCATTTCTAATGCGAGATAATTCTCACGGAATTCGGACGGTTTCTAAACCGATTTGTCGGACCGAGTCCGAGCTCGCGTTTATGATTCCGCGATCATTTCTTTGTCTTTTTTTTTTTTTTACAAGGCAGAAGCACGACGATGTTTTTCGACCGTGCTCTTTCGTCTCCGTGTCGCATTTTTAAGGACAACCACACTCGTCCACTACCATCTTCGGTAGGTCTCTTTTGATTATATTCGAGTCCGGGCCGTAGTAGATGAGCGACATGGGTGAGAACTTGAGAGGCGCGCAGCACGGTTGCATGCCGGCCAGCCGATCCATCTTCCGGTATTCCTCAATCACGTGGGTGTAATAGTTGAGAAACGTGTCCGGCGTTCTGTGACCAGCCGCGCAGTCTCCTCTGCAGTAATTGGCGTAGTATCTGTCAGGGAGATCATATTAGCGTATCAGTAATGATACTCGTATATCACGTTAATTTTCAATCTAGAATGTTTTTCTTTTGAGAGAAAAATATATCAATTGATAATATATTATTACTGGCATTAGAACTGATATGCATTTTTATGAATAATTAGATAATTTATATACTAAAAAATTACTAAATTTTAATAAATATATTTGTTGAATAATTCTAAGTATAAATATTTATTAAATTTAAACATATATTTATTTGATACAAAAACTGTTATCTTTTTTATTTAAATATATATTTACTTTATGTATTAAGTAAATGTTTATTCAGTAGTACTATTCAAAGAAATATGCATATTAAGATTTATTATTGAATTTTTTTCAGTGCAGATATTGGTCAAATTTGAATTTGAATGCTTAATCGTTGTTGTAATTATGAATAAGCGAGTAATTATATAGGAATTATTTTATGCTGTTCGTATTACTTACCCCTGAGGAGCGATAATCCAATCGTCCCACCCAAGCTGAGAGAAGCTGACGTAGAACCTCTGCTTACAGCATTGACCTTTTATCGCGCCGCTGCACTCGATCGCTCGTCTTCTAACGCGCTTCGCGGCCGCTGGATCTGTACGCACGACTAGAAACGGTCTATCCGGATCGTGATCGGCTGAAAGGAAGTACTTTTTAATTACAACGTGTTTCCATTTGAGACCGAAGTATAATGTTATAAGTAATTGTAAAACATTATTTGATCGATCACGTCAGACCAGTAATATTTTTCGACAATACGATCGATCGGAATGCTTCAACCTTCTCAAATAAAACAATTAATTCAAAATCTCGTAATTATCTCTAATAAAACTAATTAAAATCGAAATTGTTATTTTTTTTACGGATTGAAAAAAATATTTGAAATCTTAGCTGCTTGTGAATATCACCTTGCAAATTTGGAAATCATTAAAGAAGAGCACATCCTGTATGTTGTAATAAAATGAAAATCATTACAGAATTAATGTTATAGTAATAATAATTAATAATATTTCCATGCTAGTTTTCAAGATGACATTCATAACAGTATTCGAATATGTATATAGATATATAAATCGATTAGATCAGAGGTCGGTAAACTTTTTCTGTAAAATAGTTATATAGTAAATATTTTAAATTTTATTTAAAAAGAGTTATATTGATACTTATGTAAAAAAGAGAAAACAAATTTCCTCACATTTTTTATTATACACAAAATATATAAAATATATAAAAAATTGCGTTTGTCATACAAAAATAGATGACTTTGCTGATTCCTAAGTTAGATAAATAAATTGACCGCGAACATTTGTCAAATTTTTCGAAATTTTCGTCAGGAATTACCTTTCGAATTTAGGGACGACTCGATCACGTGCGGCGAATGTCCATCGAAGGTCGATACGTGGACATGCGAGCCGCACCCGCTGCAGTCGACGAGTAACGTCAGTTTATCTTTCGAGTAGTTCGTCGTGTACCATCTGCTGACGACCTTCGTCACGTCGAATTTCTGCCAGCCGAGCTGGCCGACGTTCACAACAAGAGATGTCACCATCTCTAAGTGTTGCCCGAGTTCCTATAGATTGAATCGCTCATTTAAGAACAAAAAAATTTTGTTCTAACATAACATAATATTGTAAAGTTGTATTGTGATACTTTTATGTGTCTTAAGAGATAAGGAGTTATATATTTTTTCAAAATAATTAATACGATTGCAAGAAATATTTCGGTTAGATATATTTTTTAATTTCTTTTTTAATTATGCGATTAATTAAAAGAATTGAAGGATCAAGAGAGCGTATTAAAATCTTGTTATTAAAGATTTGCATAATTTCGCAAGAATAACTGATTCACGCAATCATTTCGAGCGGACTCATAGACCCGAACTCAATATATTGCAAAAAGAATATTTACATTTATATGAAAAAATAATTTTGCAGAAATATCTAAAGATTTAAAGATATAGATCTGAAAATTTTATTGCATCAAAATAATTATGTAGAATTCTCAAGCATGATGAGTGAAGCTATAAAAATTGTTGACATTCTAGCAATCAGCTTGAACGTCTTACTCTGATAATCCAGCAAAATTATTTTCAGATTATTATGTATATTTAGCTAATGTTAGATACCTCGACAAGATCGTTCTTTTCGTGTAAGAAAAATAAAAACTAGATACATACACGTGTTTAATACGAAATGAAACAGAATAGCAACACACACAATTATAGCGCTTTTTTATTTATATTATTTAAAACAAAGATTTTTATGAAATAATATTCTCATTTGAATTATCGATCAGAGGAATGGATTACCTTGCCTCGGAGATGTGTCGTATTACCGCAGTGCACTCTGAATACCCAGAGAGTGATATTTCTTTGGTTTATCTGACTGTGACGATGATGCTGATAGTGATGGGCATGCTTGAGCTCAACTCTCGCCCACAAGGTGGCCCTTTTGATTCTCAGAGGTTCCAATGCCGGTTCGCCACTCGACATCGGAAATTCCAGCAATGGCTGGCCATTCAACGTGTGCCCTGTAATAGAAAAAATATTTTAATTTTTAGGAAGATTAGATAAAATTAAATACAAAATTAAATAAAATTAAGCTTGCTTTAAATAATCATAATTTGCATAATTCTATTTTGATGTTCTAATTCAAGAAATTAATTATTTTTAAAATGTCCACGTTGCATAATTAGAAGCACGAGACTAAACGTTTTGATGGGATAAATATTAAAGATACAGCCATTTATATATTTTCGATAAATTAGTAATAAAATATCGAATATTTTTATTTGAATATTAGCAATAGATATGAATCGAATATAAAGACAGAGAGGGCAATTAGTATTCACAAGAAGAAAGAATCTCGAAAATGAAGCGTTAATTATATGCATCATGTGCAACATAATGTGTGCAATTGCTAATTTCCGGCGTGTTCATGATAAAAATGTCGCGTCCGCATGGATAGGTTTTTCCAGACTTCGTTTTTTTTCTTTCTCCCTTTTACGATGTACTAGAAATTACGCGCCGGACTTCATTTACATACAGGGTGTCTTATAATATTCAAGCTTAAATTTATAATAGATTCCCTGTTGACATCTCATCGAAAAAAAAATTAACGCGGAAAAAATTAACAGGTCAGTATTTTTCAAGTGTTTTATATCAAATATCTTAGTAATCAAAACTTTGAATTAAAATTTTAACAAATTGACTTAAATGTTCTATTGTTCAATTGTGTATTATTATTCAATCAAATAATGTTCTAGAATATTCTATTATTCAATTATCGATTCTCTCAAAAGTCGACTACCTCTGTCAAAACGCGACCGAAGAACGACTTCTTAATCAGTTGTGGTATCAAAAAGCAGCATGCTTCGATGTTTCAAGAGAAAGTCCATTCCTAAATTGAGCTTAGAAGAATCTAATCATTGTAATTAAACTTCGCACTTCCCGCAGCCACCCTTTATATATGTACGCGCATACATATATAGGTACACACAGAAACGTGCGGACACGTACACGTGCTGCGTTCAACGCTCGTTCACTCGAAAGCATCGCTTCTCGTCTCTCTTCTCTCTCTTCTTCGTGGGGGATGTACGTATACACCTGCTCGCGTCTGTGTGGCGCGTGTAGAGTGAAAGCAGGGCGGCTTCATCCTTTAACGGTTTGGTGAGTCACGGACCGGGGTGATTCGGGGTAGGGATAAGCACAGGGTGTCTGCCGCCCGTCTGCCTTCTGCCTTTCACCGCGCACCCCTTCGTCGTAACCCTCTATCGCCACCACCACCACCGCCGCCGTCGCCGTCGCCGCCGCCACCACCCACTCGCACCCTCGACTCCGCAGTCAACTAGCCGTGTCGCTCTCTGCGCTACGACGGCCGATATACACGCGATTATATCTGCCGCTCGTTGTCTTTGCGATTGTAATGACTTATAATGACCAGTAACGTCACGCGAAAATTTGCGGCGTCTCATGGGGATGATTCGTAACGATTTGCCACGACACGAGATAATCGTTTGCGATGAAGCTTCAGAAAAATATACTGCGATTTACAACATCTCGAACATTTCGCAGAGAATTTTCCCTTGCTCTCTATTGTAGACTTTTGACGAATAATCTTCAATCTTCTAACTTTGGAATGTTTCAATTAGATACGTGTATAATATGCACGTGAATATTTCGGAAGGTCTTCTGATAAACTATGATTATTATTGCATGAAAAGCATATAAAATTGCGAGAGCAGATTTAAGAATTAAATTGAAGAGAAATGAAATATTGCAAAAAATGACATACATAGATTGTAAGAAAAATTAATTTTATTTGATGATCTAACTTTTCGTTTAATGATTGGATTATTTTAGATAGAAGATATTTAAAAAGGCAAAATATGTGAATAAAAGCTTATAATATCGTAGACGATTCTAGAAAAGAAGATAAGGAAGGTTTCAATCGATTTTGCGAAATTCAGGGAGAGCACAATGGAACAATTTCGTAACGTTCTCATCCTTCGCGAAAGCACCACGCCCGAACATACTCGACTCGATCTTCTTTTAGAAGATGGAATCGGGAGCGATGTAATTTTTGTATGATAAAATTGCTACGGATAACTATACACGATAATAATTGAATTTCAAGAATATTCAGAAAGAGATTTTCTCTAAATTAAATAAAATTGAATTCTATCTATTTAATCAAATTGAACTGAACAATTTAATCTTGTCAATTTTTAATTATTTTCTTTTATTTATATTTTTATTATTGATTTAAACATTTTATAAATATTCTATTTCTATCAAAAATATGAATTCGATATCTTATTGCAGATGCGAAGCTATTTTCTTCTTTTTTTACGGAAAGAACAGTTTTATTCAAAAAATATTTACAATTTTAAAATAATTTTCTTAGACTGTCAGAATAATTATATTATAGGATTATAGCTCAAGAATATCAAAACTTTTTGCAGTATTATTTATTATGCTTGAGCGTCCCATATAATAATTTTGATAATCCAATAAAATTAAAAAAAATTAAAAGTTATTAAAAAATTTATCTCTATACTTTTAAAATTATTAAGTGTTTTTGCGTATACTGAAAAAATATTTATTATATTTATATCTTAATAATAAATTTTTTAAAAATATTTATAAATAAATATTTACTTATAATAAATATTTACTCAATGAAAAAAATGATAATTAAATTAAATTAATTTTCTTGTATCAAACAAATATTTAACATTCAATAAATATTTACTTGCAAATATTCAAAGAAATATTTGTAATTAAGATATATAGTAATTTCTTTTCAATGTAGTAATACATTCGTATTGGTGTATACGCTTCAATGTTTGTTAATGTTTTACATTATGAATTAAACGCGTCTAAACAGAGGAACAGGATAACGTTTTTATCTCATGATTTAGCGAGAGGAGATTGAGGCGGATATGCGGATATGGAGGAAAAAGCGCGATATAAAACGCGGCTCCAGAATGCTCCACGTCCTTGGCACATGATCGACAACAAGAGTAATAAGGATTTTTAGTGGTGGAATACTTGTAGCACGATCCCTCACAAGACACCGAAATTATGCGTTGGCTTCCTAAACTGGCATCTCTCCTTAGCACACCGAAAGTCGTTCATTTTCTTCCGATTATATTCGGATTGAGAAACATAACATTTTACATAAGAATTAAGGGTCGATAGAAAGTAGCTTAGTGAATTTTATAAGGACCGGATTGTTGTATCATCTCTGTATCGCGTTCCCACAAAATTACAACATTCGTGTAACCGTGGATTCATTTTTCGTTTTTCAATTTAATTCTTTCTCTCTACATCTTCCTTTCGTTTACGGCGGCCAAGTATTGTATATGTTTAAGTCGTAAAAATTGAATATCTGCGTTACTCCGGACAGACACATTCTTATTAAAATCGCCATGCTTAGTGGTTTAAATAAAACGTTGAAATTTCGAATTAAATAGGTCGCTTATAGTCACTTATTCTTCGAGATTCGACATCTCGATATGATTTACTCTGTCTCGACTTTTCGCTCTGCATAAAGAATCTCGTATCTTCGATCTTCCGCACGATCTCCTACTGGGCTCTCTCTTTTGGGCCTTCTCTCTCTCTCTCTCTCCTCCCCTTTCCCACCCTCTCTTTATTTTTCTCTTCCCTGGGTCGCGTGTTCTACATTTTCGTAGTTCGATTTTCTAACGGCCTCGCTCGAGTTTCGAGTGCGTCGTCTGTCGCACATTTCGAGGTCGGTACATCGGGTGGTACTTTTGCCCCCCGTGCGCCGCAATGCGACACCACCACGGGAATCTGCGCCCGGTTTCTCTCTTCTCTCACAGAAACGACGAGACTTTTTTTCCCTTATGACGAATATCATTCCGAATAAAATTCACACGAATGAATGGTCGACAATCGCCTGGCACTTTTTTGTACGCGCGTAATGCCAGAGCAGCAGAACTATCGCGGCTTCAGTAACCGACATTTTCCCGGATAGGTTGAAATCGGGGATTGAAATATTTATTTGTACATTTACTTCGCAATTTTTAATAATATTTTTGTAAACGATTGCTTTCCGATCTTTCTAATCGATTGATTTTCGATGTAATTATCGCAAATCAGGTGATTTCAGAAATTATTCTCATATCAAGCTGCAGCGAGTATTGCTGTCAAAATAAATTAATGACACATAAATTGAATTAATAATATAATAAATGATTGTTTTTAGCAGAAAAAGCAACTTTATAACTATTATGAGATTTTTTAAATATAATTAGTTTATTATACATTTAGATTCAATGAGGAACTATGGATAAGATCAATCGTATCAAAGAATTTTCATAACAATTGCAAAGCTGTTTTTTCTACTAAAGCCAATGTAAAAGATATCGCTCAAATATAGTGCGTGGCTTCGGATTATAATGGTGAGCAAACATTATCGAGCGAATCAATCTATTAGTATGGCCAAGGTTCGAGTGTTATAGGCCTTATATCACACCTATTGCGTCCTCGATGAGCAAAATTTTCTGAGAAACACTCTAAGAATAATCTCACAATAAAAAAGAAATGTAGGAAAACCAGAACGGAATAAAAATGCGAAAGAAATGTCGAGACTACAAAATGATTTAAAATATTAAGGGATTGTGGTAATAAATTGCATGATATAGATTTAATCGATTATTCCGACAACAAAATAAGTCCATAATTTTCGAAAATCCAGGGTAATTAATGGAGTGTGTTGTAAACGTGTGAATATACAGCGTACAGTGTGCGAAAACAATGCAGCTTTGTATGTAGCAAATTATAGATGTTGCATTTGGAAAGATATTACATTGAACATTACACTTGGAAGCAATGATACTTCCGAGATAATGCGATCTTTAGCGGATCGTTATTATTCTCGAAATAGAAGGACTCTCAGATCTCTAGCTGGCATGTTAGAATCGCAAATGCCTTAAGCGTCTCACTTGGCTTCGACAATGATTGGCAAGCTCCTCGTGACCTTGCGTCAGATATCTGCCGCGAG